ACCCTAAACCCTAAACCCTAAACCCTAAACCCTAAACACTAAACCCTAAACCCTAAACCCTAAACCCTAACCCTAAACCCTAGCACTAAACCCTATATACACCCCACGTGATCCTAAACTTTAAACGCTAAAACCCTAAACGCTAAAACCCTAAACCCTAAAACCCTAAACCCTAGACCCTAAACCCTCGCAACCGAGATGCGGGTTTGTTTGTGCTGACCTGTCTCTGTTCTTCTGTTCTCTGTCTCTCTAGCTTATCGAGGAGCCCAGCTGTTGTCTGCTGCTGCTCCCGCAGCTGCAAGGAGACAGAAAAGGAGACAGGGGCAGACGAGTAAAAAAAAAAAACAGAAGCAGGAGACAGAAGGAGACAGAAAAAGGAGACAGAAAAAGGAGACAGAGAAAAGGAGACAGAAGGAGACAGAAAAAGGAGACAGAAGGAGACAGAAAAAGGAGACAGAAGAAGACAGAAGCAGGAGACAAAAGGAGACAGATAAAAGGAGACAGCACCCCACAAACAACTGTCTCCTTTTGCTGCTGCTGCCAATAAAAAAGGAGACAGTTGCTGCTGTCTCCTTTTCTCTTTTCTCACCTTTTGCAACATCTCCTGTATCTGCGGCTCCAAAGAAGAGACAACAGCTGCATGCACCTTCGCGATGCTTCTCTCTGCGGACGGTGTGCTGTCCCCGGGGGCCCCCCCCCCGGCAGGGGGGCCCCCCAGGGGGCCCCCCAGGGGGCCCCCAAGGGGGGCCCCCAGGGGGGCCCCCAGGGGCCCCTCCTGGGGGGCCCCAGAAGAACCCCAGGTTGAGGCTACGCTGGAGACCGAGTCAAAGGAATGCAGAGCCAGGGCCCTTGCTAGAGGAGACAGCAGCACACACACAAACACAAAACTTTATGCAGAGAGACAGAGGCAGGGTGCTGCAGCCACACAGCTAGCTAGCTAGCTAGCTAGCTAGCTAGCTAGCTGGCTAGCTGCAGGGATAGCTAGCCACCTGGATATCTAGCTAGCTAGATAGCAACGCAACTAGCTAGCGATACGTCTAGCTAGCTGTATCTCTAGCTAGCCACCGGCTAGCCACACGCCAACAGGCGTTGTGCTGCAGCTAGCTGTCCCCGAGCTGCAGCAGCAGCCCCCAGCATGCTGCAGCCAGCCCCCCAGCTAGCCACCGGTTCCCCTCAGCTAGCCACAGACTCCCTGCAGCTAGCCACCTCCTCCCCTCAGCTAGCCACAAGCAAGCCCTAGCTAGCTACAGAGAAGCACCAGCTAGCTGCAACAAACCCTGGCTAGCTGAAGCAAGTGTTGGCTAGCTAGAAGGGATCGTTGGTACCACGTGATCCTAAACCCTAAACCCTAAACCCTAAACCCTAAACCCTAAACCCTAATGTGTGTGTCAGCAGCTCACAGCGGTGCCTCGAGAAGGTGTGTTCCCGCCGTGTCCCCCCCCCCGCAGCAGCAGCAGCAGCAGCAGCAGCAGCAGCAGAAGCAGCAGCAGCAGCAGTATCTTCCTTGGCCTCGTTGATGTCTCTCTCTATACACTGCAGCACAGCTAGCACCTCAGCTAGCATAGCCAGAGAGACAGCAGAGCGGCAGCGCCTGCGGGGGGCCCCCCTCTGCTCCCCCCCCGAGGAGACAGTCTCCATCTGTCTAGTACCCTTTTGGGGGGCCCCCGGGGGCCCCTACAGCTCCAGCAGAGGGGTACCAGCAGCACACACACAGCAGCAGCAGCACCAGCAGCAGCAGCAGCAGCAACAAGCAGCAAAACTGCAGCAACACACTGCTGCTGCTACCTCCTGTCTGCCGCCGGGGGGCCCCCATGCTACACGCACAGGGACTACCCTCATCAGGGGGGCCCCCCGAGAGCACCCCAAACCAAAATATTTAACTCTGCTGCAGCAAGGCATGCACTTCTGTCTCTGCTGTTGCTGCTGCTGCTGCTGCTGCTGCTGCTGCTGCTGCTGCTGCTGCTGCTGCTGTTCTTGCTGCTTCTACTGTTGGCTCGGCCGCCTGCACGTTACTGCTGCTGCGGCTGCTCCTGAAGGAGCACTAGCTTATGCTGGTTTCGCAGTAGCTGCTGCTTTTGCTGCTGCTGTTTTTTTTGGTGTTGCTGCTGCTGCTGCTGCTGCTGCTGCTTCGGTTTCTGCTGTTGCTGCTGCTGCTGCGGTTGCTGCTCAGACACGTGGAGTTTTAAGGGACCGAGGAGCCAGGCACCAGGATGACAAGGCACTGCCGGCGCAGCAGCTGCTGCTGCAGCTGCAGCAGCAGCTGCAGCAGCAGCTGCAGCAGCAGTTGCTGCAGCGGCAGCGGTGACCACTGGTCACCTCCT